ATTATTAAAATATAAAAATTCAAATTTTCTTTTAAAATTATTCGAATAAGCGATAATAATAATAATAATAAATTTTATTTTAGATTTGAATTATCTCACTCAAGAAGATATTGTTGCTTCCTACGTTGAAATTTTGCCTTATTTTGGGTGTGCAGGAAGGCGTTTTGTCGATTTTTCTCGTGTCGGTACCTGAGCAATATTGGTCTCATTTTTTAAGTTTTGAAATGTTCTAAACGCACTAGTGCAGTCCGTTTTGCGAACAGAGACCGGTTGGGCAAATTTGTGTATCATCATGTAGATAATTTGAAGTTTTTTACCGCATTCAGTCAATTATCTTGCGAGATGTCTCCTTTGGCTAATTTTGGTGTTCTAGTTGCAACGCTACAGTCCATTTTGCAAACGGAGATCAATTCAAATAGTTTTGCATATCATTGGTGTATGTCACATTTTTCTTGTTAGCCCACTCATTTGAATCATCAATGTCAGCCAAAAAAATAAGGTCAATCACATCACGATGATTTTATCTGCAAATCAATTCTTTACATAAACTAAATCCTTGAGCCGACCATCATCCATTCTACTTATTTTTTTCTATGAAGCTACAATTGAAACATCATTACACTTATTATACTATAAACATGCATAAAAAATCAACACATACTACTTATAAATACTTAAATGTTTAAATATCCTCCAATTGCGCTCGTATCCAGATGAACTACAGGTCAGATTGAAAACTTTCATAGCAAAACTTTGTAAATTGAGAGCTCCATTGACATACAATAACCACCAATCAACTAGAAGAAATAAATATTTATTTTCTATTCTTATAGAATTGATACTCAATCTTAATTTTATACAAACATTAATATCTAAAAATCGAGTAGTCCATTGTCATACAGCTGAAGGAATACCAAATAAACATTCACCACTAATACATAAACTTAATTCATTATTAATTGTCTTATTTATCTACATCTTTAGATAATCTTTCAATATATGAATAAAGTTCAACTATTATTTCCTTGTCCCGGGTTATATTAGGGTTATTGAATAAATATTCGGGATTTAAAAAGTATATTATTGCATGTAAAGGTCGTTGTAATTGCACTTCCCATATTCTATCAATAATTTTAAAAATTTGCTCATATTAATCACTATTGTTGAAGCATAATGCAATTGCCTTTTTTTCCTATCCATTGCTTCATATATATAAGTCATTAGAGCTTCCTTTCTCCATCAACCAACATGAGAACCTTCAATAAAGGGTCACCTATTTTTTGGGCATACACAATAGTATTTCAGAATGATTGTTGCAAGATGACATGTTAAGATTGTTTTTCCTTCGCTTATTATATCAGGACCCAAAAAACTCTTCGCAAGTAAATATTAACTTCGCAAGTAAACATTTTCTTCGCATTTGTTTCTTTTGTGTCAAGACCCAAAATGAACACTGCGCAAGTAAACATTTTCTTCAAACACAATATTGTTGATAAAAATGTTGTAAAGTCAGGAAGGCTATCGCGAAATGAGTCTTGGCAGGCTTGACGAGTGCTATTTGATTTGTACACCTCGTTAAATCAAGCAAGACCTTAAATATATAAAATTGTATACCGCCACTACTTTCTCAAAGCATCGCCATAGTTTTTAAATTTTATAAATATCCTCCATTATCAAATCCAAATAGTGAGCAACATAAGGAGTACAAAAGGAGAAATTTTAAAAATATCCTCCATTAATAAAAAATTTTCCATTCCTCGATGTCCATTTATATGCTATAAGAGAATAGTCGTATCGTACACAATCTTCTTGATGATATCGTAATAGTTTATGTACGTATGTACAACCCTTTCTTCAAATAAGGAACTCATACCTCATGATAACTATGAGGTTTCATCTCATGTCCAAATTTTCCAAATGTCTTGACTATGCTGTAAAGTTGTCATATATCACTGCATTGAATGAAATTCCGGCATCATATATCTATCTACAAAACACTTAAATTGCCCTACCCACATTTCCTTCTTAGCAGCATCAATCTCTTTACTAAATGGACATTTTCTCTACTTAACCATGTTATCAGGATTTGGTGTAAGATAAGAATCTACCAGTCTCTTAGGTGTTGATGCTTTGAGCATTGATGTTGATATTGAACTTTGACTAGAAGTGTTAAATTTAGTTATCAGATATCTTTTTAATGGTCCAACACCAAAATTATCATCTAGCAACACATCAAAGTCATCTCCTTCGTCAATAATAACATGTGATGTGTCATTATCTATTCTTTTAAAACCTTTGTCTTCAGCATAAGTATTGTATTTCATCCTAAACATGTTTGGGGCTATTAGAACATGCTTTAGCATTTCTAAAACCCCCAACTAGGTGTTGCTTTGGCACGTAATTCCTCCTTTTCTTATTTTGCCACAAAAAATACATGTGACTTGTTGTTATGGGCTTCATTTACCAATATTGCATATTTCCATGTTGAATTTTTTTTAAAGATTGAACTAAATTTAACATTTTTTATCACCTATGAACAAGCAGTTTTAAATAATTAAACATTACAATTATATAAAAGATGAAATTAATAACTTATCTAACAAAATGCAAAATAATAACAAAATAAACCAAGCTTTATAAGAAAATTCTAATGTATAGCACTGTTTGTAGTCACTACGATGGCTCCAACGTGTTTAAGTTTTGTAGTTATTTAAACTATTGGAGACTGATTTTTTCCTCAAACTATTCATCTCCTTTAGAGCAATCATTCTCCCCTAATTAGGGACAAATTTAAAGTTTATGACAGTCATAAAAGTCCATAAAATTTGTTATCTTATCAATTGAACTACATGAGGATAGACATCTCTCATTGTGATCCGACGACACCATGTAGATCCTCATAATGAGAACTTCCATGGAGGCTTGCTTTACGGCCGAACAACATGGAGATAGCAATGGCACTTTATTTTACTGTCAATAAATTCTCGCAATAAAACAATTGCTTCAATAGTAAATTAACACCACTTGGAACAAGTTTGGTTCTCAAAATAAATTTTAAAGTCATAATTTATAGTCGGCTCAGTTTTTTTGAGTTAACATATGCTTCATAATTTATGTAAAAATAAGTGAATCATCTTATTCAACTATTTACATGGATGAATGGCAAACGTGAAAAATCAACTCACTCAACCTAAGATAAATTGTGATAAAGCTAGAGAAGATGACAATTATTAGAAATCAAGATGAAATAAAACAGGTTTAACCAAATTGCATAACCCAAGATTAAATTTAACAAGAGCTTCTAAATCATGGAAATAGAAGTCCAAATAACAAAATAGACCAAGCTTCATAGATTTTCTTGCTTTAGCTAAAGTATGTATAAACTCAAAATCATATATTTACTCAAAATCTCTTAATTTATTTATTAAAATATATCAGAAATATCCTCAACAGATCTCAAATCAAGTATCCAACGGCTAGCACAGAGCAGAAAAAGAAACTCCAATGGCTAATTCACGCTTCAATTTTTTAACCAATCAAAAAATAAAAAATAAAAATCAAGATGGACCAGGCGAGTACAACGAATGATGTTACCATTGGCCGAAGAAGACAAATGCAGCGAACCACGCGAGTACAATGAATGATGGAAGCTTTGAACTAGGCGAGTACAATGAATGATGGAATGAGGAGCGAGCTTTGAACCCTATGCGAACTTCGGACCCTACACGATCTTCAAACCCTAAGCGAGCATCGAACTAGGCAAATGTAGCGAACAAAATGACCTAGGAGCGAGAGCTTCAAAACCCTTAACATAAGCATCAGTGTCAAATGGTTGGGGTTTCAAACCGAGCAAAGTAAATAAACCTAAGTAGTTTATTTATTATATTAACTTAAATTAAAAATATATACGTGCTAAAAAATCTTTATAATTATACTAAAAATTTATTGAATAAAATGGGGCGCACTATTTGAGCCATGGCACATATATGGCCCAAATAGCACACACCATTTTCAACCTATGTGCCATGCCATATAGATGGTGTTGTGGGTGCGTCGCGCCGCACCAGTAGACATGACACAAGCTATTTTACGCAATTGACATGTAAGTATGTTACATTAGTAACTCTAAGCGAGTAATCATCTTGCATTACCTCCTATCCTTAAATCATATTATTGGAAAAAAAATTGTTGTTAGCAAGTTGCCGCAACTTCTTCAGAACTAAAGTTCAATTAACCAAATCTAGATGTTGGAATTGGTCAAGAAAAAAAAAAAGGTTAAAAAACAAGGCAAATATTTCCACCCAACAAAGAGAATAAAAATCATTTTTTAGTAATTTAGAAAGAATACTTCCCAAAAATGCTTCTTGACTGGAATAGAAGAAATAATGTTTGGCAAGCTAATGAGAGCATCATGTACAGAGAACTTTTTACATAAAATTCCAATCTTGAGTCAAACATGGTCGTGCAAATATTCAGTTTATAATGCCCAACAGCAAGTTTCTGTTAGAAATGAGTTACAAAGTTTATGGAAATAGAAATGATGATAGGACACAAACTTAAAATTTATCTTCATAGCTTATAAGACGGTTTTAGAAGCTCGTATCAAATGCTCTTTAAGCGGTGTTCCTAATGTCATGTGTCTGGCAAAAGTAAGAACAGAATCATGTTGAAACTCATTCTACACAAGCTTAGAGTCATGTTGAAATTATCATAGGATGAAACATGCATCCACATTTTTCCATTTCGAAAAATAGTCAATTCAGACACCAAAGGCAATATCACAATCTATTCAATGAACATGAAGTTTCACAAGCAATAACTCTTATGAATATCTTCATTTCGGTATCATTCTGTCCTTATAAATAATTTATATGGATACAATTTCAACTTTTAAAGGAAACCTTACAATTCCATAATTATAGTCAGAAAGAATGAGATATAGCATGAAAACACAACCGAGGGTGAATGATACAAACTCAAAAAGAATCAAGATTTCTCACCCCAGATATAGAATCCCATGCCGGACTAAATCTTTGGTAGGGGTATCGTAGAATTACTGGAAGAACCGGCACTTTGGCTAGAAAGGCACCCGTTTTAAACGGAAGAAGGTAGTCACCATTCGTAGTAGTGCCTTCTGTAGTAAGAAAAAAAAACTATGGTCAGCCAATGGAGAACATCATAAGCACATCCAAGAACTGAAGAAGTATAATAACGTCTAACAACAAGCAAAAGAAAATTCAAAATCAAATCATTTCATGTGATTGACCGCAGGTACAAAATCACTCAGACGGAATGCAATCTACCATAACAGGCAATTAATCTTCTTCTTTTTTTTTTTTTAAGGCAATTAGTCATCTGTTCAATGCTATGGTCCTGAAAATTATTACGTTAAAGAAAGTAGATGTTATTAAAAAACATAAGAACCTTGCTAGTTCATTATCCTTGCATGTACATATGATAATTGTGGAACTTTTGCAATTAATCGAGATATGCTTTAAATATAAACTTCTTCCAGAAAGTAATATTTAATGTAATAATTCACGAAACTTGACCTGGAAAAAGTAACATCATTGGAGCTTGATTATTTTGATGGGCCTCTTGAATCCTTTTTGTTACAACACCTGCATGCATGAAAGGGACTTTAACCACTGACAACAAAACAGCACGTGCCACAAAATTGGACACAACCAGCTATAGTTTAAAAACATAATTAACAACAACAATATCAATCTTTTATCCAACTACATGGTTCAGATGCATGAATCGTTTTTCTCCGTTGTCTTATTAAGAGTTTAATTTTCATTTAAAAAAAATATCATTTTTAATATTTTCTAAACAAGTTTTTTTAGGTCTACATCTACCTTTCTTAACATAGGTCAAATTTAATACATCTATTCTTCTAACCAGGTCATCAGAAAGCCTGACATTTTATGTGACCAAACCATCTAAGATAACTATCTCTAGTCTTATCTACCACTAGAACTACTCCAACTTTTTCACGTATATACTTGTTTCGCATTCTTTCTCCAAAAGTGAGGTCACTCACCACCCACCTGAGCATCCTCATCTCTGCAACACTTAACTTAATTATATGGTCCTCATTTATTGACCAACATTCTGCGCCATAAAGCATTGTAAGTCTCACGACCATCTTATAGAAATTTTCCTGAAGTGTGAGAGATACTTTTCTATCAAAATAGGCCCAACGCATTTCTTCACTTCAACCATCCAACTTGAATCCTACTAATAATATCCCTATCTATTTCACCGTCACTATGAAAAATTGACTCGAGATAACTAAATCATGTACTCTTATTAATGACTTAATCGCCTAAAGTCACAATCCCCCACTAGATCTATTACTTTTATTCCATGTATTTGGTTTTAGATCTACTCAAATAAAAATGTTAGACAATAAGGTTGATCTTCATAATTCAAGTTTACTTTAAACTCCCTCTCTAGTCTTATCAACAAAAAGAATATAACATTAAAAAGCACACCAGGGTACATCCTCATGCAAAAGTCTAATGAGAACATCGATGACTAAAGAAAAAGCAATACAGCAAAAAATATCAAACTGACCTGAGATATATAAATCATGTACTCTTATAATGACTTGATCGCCTAAAGTCACCCCCCCCCCCCGCCTAAAGTCACCCCCCCCCCCTCTCTATCCTTTAAAACTCCCATCATATCCCCAAATATTCTATTAAAGTTCTCAATAAATTAATTCATTTGCATTATCATAAAAAATCAGCACAATTCCACTTAATTGATGTCGTCAAACCAGCATTATAGAACTGGACGCATCTGAAACATTTTGGGTAAGAGTAGCAGAATGGGGATTAATAGTCAACTGTTTCTTACAAAAAAAAACAGACACTAATGCGTTTCATTAGTCTATGCTCTTTGTGATGTCCATACGAGAAAGGATTAGAATCCTATTCTACGAATAGCAAAGCTCCAGCAACGATTAAGTCTATAATGAGAAACACTGCCCTTACAATGCTGTCATATCTAGTCCAAATGTAATACTTGACTAGCATGGTGCATTGAATTATTAGATGCGAGAGTTGCATTTCATTCCTTGCAAACATTTATCTTTATAGCATACGACCAAGCCCTTTACATGTTTTTTTATTAAATCATATTTAATTTGATATATATTGTCCTCAGCTATTTGAATCTATAATTATTGATACTCTTGTTGATTTAAAAGACTAATACTATCGTTATCAGGTCCCAAGTCCTGGATGAGAAAATGATGTAGGCAATGGGGGTCAAAACAAGTTGGGTTTTAAATTTTGTGAGTTTCTTTATCTCTACTAAAAAATCAGCTCATTAATGAGCTTCTTCTTCTTTTTCAGCTCATTAATATCTAATAGAGAGCCTTTTAAGCTCATAAATTGAAGATTAATTAGATTCATCCCCTCCTCCTTATGGCTCTTAGGTTTCTTCCCTTGCCTTTATTTATGACTTTTTGGTTTCTTCTTGTGTCTCTTTGATTTTTCCACTAATACCTCTTCTCCTCCCCTTTGTCTTTTTATTTTCTGAGTTGTCCCATGGGTTCCCATGCCTTGGCTCCTTGGTTCCCACAGTTGGCTATGCTGGGTGGTTTTCCCGTGCCTTGGTTCCTCGGTTCCGTGCAGGCCTCCTTGGTTCTTGCGGCTGCCTCTTCGGGTTCCGTCTAGGCTACTTTCCCGTGGCAGTTGGGGGCTTTTCTGTGGCTTTGGTGCTTTGTTTCCTGTATAGAATTGGGGAACATTATGAGGTGGTTGTTGGCTTTTTCATTTTAATTAAGAATATGAAGGGCTTTTGGGCTGCTATTTGGTGGCTGTTTTGGGGGGATTTCCATGAGTCTTTCCACTATTTTCTATGCAATTTTCCTGCAGAATTCCTGCTGTCTTTTGGTCTTCTTCTTGGTGACTTATGGCCTTCTATTTCCCTATTTTAATGGCTTTAAATATTGCTTTTAGGTGGCTGTTTGCATTCCTTCTTTTGTGCCTATAAATAGAGTTGTTTTGTGGTTGTTTTAGGATGGAGATATGATTGATTTTTGGAAAGAAACCTGAGGGTTTTCTTGGATAGCTTGCGAGCTATGCCACTTCTTCCTCTTCTTGTCTAGGAAAGCTTGCAAGCTTCTCCTCTTTCTTCTCGGGCTTCTAACCTCTTTTGTCTCTCTGCAAGAAAGAGTTGTTTTTTGTGATAAAAATTTTGGGTCCCTCTCCCAAATTTTTGATTACACCAATTTGGTATCAGAGCAAGTTAGGAAGTCCTAGGTTTATGAGTCGGTTTGTCAAGAAAATCATGGTGAGTCATAGTTGTTGTATGTGAGTCTAGGTTTCTTTAGGTTGAGTCAGTCTTTCTTTGAGTCTTGTTTTGTTGAGTTTTTTAGAAAAAATGGAAAAACACAAAAATAGTGATCCAGTGGAAGAAAGCAAGCCAGATAATCCTGAAGTCCCCCTTCTGAAGGGCAGATGGATTCCAACTGAAGGAGATTCAACAGATCCACTACAAGAAAGATTATAGAAACTTCAATATCACATGTTCTTATGTGATGAGAAATACGAGAAAAGATAGAAGTATCTTCAAGAACAATTCGAGAAAGAGCAAGAATAAATTTTGAAGATGTTTGAAGCAAAGAACTGGATGCACCGCCTTCGCCTCCTCAGAAGAAAACAAAAGCCAACTCATCGGGAGATGAGTTCTTCAAGTAGGGAAGTTTGATGAAGGCAAGGGCGGGTCAAAACAAGTTGGGTTTTAAATTTTTTGAGTTTCTTTATCTCTACTAAAAAATCAGTTCATTAATGAGCTTCTTTTTTTTCAGCTTATTAATATCTAGTAGAGAGCCTTTTAAGCTCATAAATTGAAGATTAATTAGATTCATCCCCTCCTTGTGGCTCTTAAGTTTCTTCCCTTGCCTTTATTTATGACTTTTTGGTTTCTTCTTGTGTCTCTTTGATTTCTCCACTAGTACCTCTTCTCCTCCCCTTTGTCTTTTCATTTTCTAAGTTGTCCCATGGGTTCCAGTGCCTTGGCTCCTTGGTTCCGACGGTTGGCTGTGCTAGGTGGTTTTCCCGTGCCTTGGTTCCTCGGTTCCGTGCGGGCCTCCTTGGTTCTTACGGCTGCCTCTTCGGGTTCTGCCTGGGCTGCTTTCCCGTGGCTGTTGGGGGCTTTTCCATGGCTTTTGTGCTTTGTTTCCTGTGTAGAATTGAGGAATATTATGAGGTGGTTGTCGGCTTTTCATTTTCCTAATTTAATTAAGAATATGAAGGGCTTTTGGGCTGCTGTTTGGTGTCTGTTTTGGGGGGATTTCCATGAGTCTTTCCACTGCTTTCTATGCAATTTTCCTGCAGAATTCCTACGCCTTTTGGTCTTCTTCTTGGTGACTTATGGCCTTCTATTTTCCTATTTTAATGGCTTTAAATATTAGTTTATGTGGTTGTTTGTATTCCTTCTTTTGTGCCTATAAATAGAGTTGTTTTGTGGCTGTTTTAGGATGGAGATATGATTGATTTTTGGAAAGAAACCTAAGGGTTTTCTTGGATAGCTTGCGAGCTATGCCACTTCTTCCTCTCCTTGTCTAGGAAAGCTTGCGAGCTTCTCCTCTTTCTTCTCAGGCTTCTAACCTCTTTCGTCTCTCTGCAAGTGACCAACCCACCTGTATCCTTCTTCTAATGGATGAAATGCAACTTTAGGAGTTTATGTCTTTCAAATGTGTTTGTGTCGTTTGTAAGAGTCAATGTTTGTAAGTCTTTTATTTTAAATAAGTAAAGTTTGTTTTGTCTGCATAAACATAAAATGATAAATTTTGTATATACTAATGAATCACTCATATTGTAAAGATTGACCAGCATTGTTTATTAGTTTTGAACTTTAAGATGAAAGCATAATATGAAAAATTAAAAAAAAAATATTATCCTAGGAATAGATGGGGCATTTAAATAATACTAAAAAAAATATTTTTGAGAGTAAGATTCAATATCTTAAGATTTAACTATACACGAAGATTCTAATATTATTTGAAAAAAATAGCTAATGATATTAAAATTGTTGCAAAGAATATGCTTGGAGTACCAAAAGAAAAGCTGCTAATAGTAAACATAGTTGGTGGCGGAATCAAAATGAGCAATAAAAAATAAAAAATAAGAAGCTTTTTTATAAAAATTGGTTAAAATGTAAAAACTAAAAAAATTGATAAAGATATAAAAAGACTTGTAAGGAGCCTAAGAAAGTAATATGTGATGCAAAAAGTTTAGCTTTTAGTGATTTATATAATAGATTAGAATACTAAGGATGGTGAAAGATGTATATATAAGTTAAGCCAAGCAAAAAGATAAAAGGATTTAGCTCAAGTAAAGTGTATTAAGGATGAACATCAAAAAATATTTTTATTAAAAAAATGTATTCAATAAAGGTGGATGGATGAGATATTTTGATAACTTTTCAATGAAGATTGTAAGAATACTATTAACTTAGTGACCTTAGCACCCTAAAAGAAAATAAATATTTTTATTTTTATCGGAGTATTAGTAAAATTGAAGTTAGAAAGGCATTAAGAAAATGAAATGTGGAAAAGCTATTAGACCTAATTATATTTCAACAGAGGTGTGGAAATGCT